GATTTGTTCCTGGCAATTCAGTTAATTGATGGTTTATTTATTTAATTTGTTTGTATGTGTGTTCATAGGTAGATTTTAATATAAGTTATGCTTCAGGCAGGCTGCTATGGACTGTTATGCTATGGACTGTTATGCTATGGACAGACTGGACAACTGAACAGAGAGAAACCTTGTGAAGTTCAGCAAGGGGAAGTGGAAGGTCCTGCACCTGGGGAGGAATCACCCCATGCATCAGTACAGGCTGGGGACTGGCCTTCTGGAAAGGAACTCTGCAGAGAGACCTGGGCATCATGGTTGACAAGTTGACCACAAGACAGCAGTGTGCCCTCATGGCCTAGAAGGCCAATGGGATCCTTGAGTTCATTAAGAAGAGCGTGTCCAGCAGGTCGAGGGAGGTGATCCTGCCCCTCTACTCAGCCCTGGTGAGGCCGCATCTGGAGTACTGTGTCCAGTTCTGGGCTCCACAGTACAAGAGGGATGTGGAGCTGCTGGAGAGAGTCCAGCGCAGGGCTACAAGGATGATCAGGGGCCTGGAACATCTGCCCTATGAGGAGAGGCGGAGGGAGCTGGGCCTGTTCAGCCTGGAGAAGAGAAGGCTGAGAAGGGATCTAATCGTTCTCTGGGGATCTTCAAAACCCACTTGGATGCAATTCTCTGCCACATGCTCTAGGTGACCCTGCATGAGCAGGTGGGTTGGGCTAGATGATCTCTAAAGGTCCCTTCCAAGCTTGATGATTCTATGGTATGAGAAAGAGAAATTAAAGTTGAAGAAAAGAGGAATACACGATGTTGCAAATGATTCATGTGCTGTGGGTGATGTCATTCTTAACTAAGTGCGGTTCATTTCTTGGACACAAAAAACTTTTTCACAGGTTCCTCTTCCATGTTGTCCCTTTTTAACTGGTGAGGCTTTCTTTTGATATTTTATTTTCAAGAAAATAATACAGAACTCAAGTTCATCAGACTTACAGTCAAAACTGCAATAGTAAGTTTGACAAATACATTACACTTGTGCTGTCAGCCTGAAGAGTCGATATGAAAACACACAGAGCTTCTGTGAAAGTCTTGCTTAAGCATTTCAACTTGAAGGAACTGAAGATATGCTCCTTTTTGTTATCTTTTGGAAGCAGAGTTGACAGAATTAGACTGCATTGTCAGTACTAGAGTAGAACAGAATTCCTATATCCTCTGAAAGAGACTAGGAAAGATTGCTTTGGTGAGATAAAACATGCAATTTTCAAACAGACTTTAAGCAAAATATTGATAGCATTTTCTGTTCTTAGTACAATATATTTGTCTGCCTTTCATTTGTATTTCAATATTTGCGGTAGCAAAATAATGAAAAGTCACAAACTAGCAACCCTTTTATTTTTCCTGTCATCATCGCTATCTTTTTTTCTCCTCTTAAATAAAATAGTGAAAGTAATTATGAAAATATAATGCTCTTTAAAATTGGGGTAGTAAGCCTTTCAAATAAGTGTTGTCATCAGTCTTTTCACTGGTGAGTGCTGTTAGTGTTGGTTGGACAAGTTGGACAATGTTGGACAATGACAGTTCCCAAGAGACTTTGATGTGGTGGCTTGATAGTATAGGTTCTAGGTGAGGAGTATAAGGACTGAAATGTTTTTTCGTAAGCGAAGCATGTGAAACTTACTAAGTGAAAAATCATTTGCTTTTGTTGGAGATGGGAGAGGAATTATACCAAAAAGCAATAGCTAGAAATTCACGGTAGAATGGTCTGGCAAATACCTTCCAGCTAATACTTCATTATTTTGGATATGTGTGTATGTATAGAATTTACTTATATATTCATATTCATTCTAACAGTTGTAGATTACTATCTGATTTCAAATAAGTAATTTTAAAAGCTGGAAGTCCCACCAAAGTGTTTCTCTAAGCTTGAATGCGTTAAAGCTTAATGATTCTGATTATTCCAGTAGTCTGGCCAAAGTCATTTAGTAGTGTCATTGCTGCTGATTAAATAAAAGGTTTTGAAGGACTGTCAAACAAATATCACAATATGCCAAACTTCTCTAACTAGGATTTAAAACTGCTTTTATCTTTGATGTTCTGTGTTTCTTTGGAGCAGGCTATCTTTATATGTAGGTTTAGATGAATGCTGGAGGGAAAACCCTCCAAAACAGAAGACTAACACAGTTTGAATTAATAGCACTTTGGGAATACTGCTCTTCCTGCCTCTGACTGTGTAGACTAGTTGCTCAACTGCTTAATTTGCAGAACTAGCAGCATGCCTGTGGCTCTGTCATATCGAACATCAATGTGTTGATGGGCCTGCATATTGTGTCAGGAAAGACAAATCTGAGGATTGACAACTTGCACTTTTCACTGTGAGTTATTGGTCTATTTGAATGTGAGGGGAAGAACCCTACTAGCTATTTAACTCTCAAAGGAGTCTAAAAGCACCTAAAATGTGATTTTTACATCTCTCAGATGTAGCAGGTGTATGTATATGCGAGACTGTGCACAGACTTTCAGTCTGTACAGCTATGCTATCAGACATTACCCTCAAATTTTACATCCAACTTTAAGAAAGGAAAGTATGGATAACTGGTACGTGACCACATGCAAAAAGAATGTATGCAGTAACTTAGGCACATGCAGGTAGAAAATAAAACATTGGATGATTTGTATGCTGAAAGTAGCTGGAGGTGACAGGGGCGGACTAGAAAAACAAGCGATAAAAGTCTGTTGCCATTCGTACTTGAGAATAGACTCATCTTCCCTAGACTGGAAATTTTACTAGCAGCAGGAAAGCAATTGAATTATTTAATTTGGACAACCAGCATCTTACCAGGTTGAACTGGGTTTGTTTTTTGCCTGAGGTGAGGTGTGAGCCAGACAATAGGAGAAAAGGGTGTAGAACTGCTGCGTGCCACAGGTAGGGCATCACTTCAGCTGAAATACTTGTACTGCTTTGTGTGTTCACCTAGCCAATTTGAACAGATTGTTCTGCTTTTCTCTCAAAGTGTATTTAGATTAGATAACAGTACTTATGTTGTCTTCTAAGATAACTAAATTCATTCATGTTTCATATAGCCGTGTAAGCTGCCTATGAACAGTGATGTTAAAGATGGTGAAAAAAGAAGTGTAGCTTCTGAATCTTGAGCTTTCTGTGATTGCATAACCAAGCTAGCTTCAATTCTCTTTAACCCTAATAAAAATGCAGAGATTGCACTAAGTTTAGGCACCAATTTGTGCCAGGTTCTACTATCAAGTTTACTTGCCAGGCAAATCTTTCCTTCTGTTTCTGTAATTCCACCTTCCTTGTTTTTTATTCCCCTTCCTCTTCCAGCCCAATAAAAGCTATTCCTCATTTTCCTATTGTATTTTTTCATTCCATACACAATTTAAATCTTTTCCCCTTCTTATTCTCTTGCATTGCTTTTGGGTTTTTTTGTGTTCCCCTCTCTTGCCCCCTGCCAAAATCAACCTTACTTGACGTGAAGGTAAATAAGGCCATGGTGGGGTATCTCTTATTGCACTCATGGATGTTTTACCCGTCTGATGTAGAAAGTAGCAGTGCTAGGAGAGTTCTGCAATTTATAGCATGACCTGGCTGCCGAAGTCCTAGTTAATCTGCGGAGTTGTTCTGTGCACTGTGGTTAACACAGAGGAATTAGCACTAAAGCAGTTGGGCAGCACACTTTAAGACATTCTGGTGGCTCTAGTGGATTATTATTATTTTAAGGCACTGTCCACATTGTCTGCTAAATTTAGAGTTGCTGCTCTAGGGAAAACCTTGCTGAGGTTGTTATATCAATGCAGCGTATTTCTGTGACTTTTGGTCAGGGGAAAAAAATGTCAGTGGGTAGTTCTTAGTAAGAAATCCTTACTTTTCCAACTGTAAGATCTTTTATTTCCTTCTCTTTACCTTTATCGGGCTAAGATCTCTTGGAATAAGATTTTTCCATCTAGATTGCTTTTTTTCTAGTATTTTTATAGAAAGCTATGCCAAACTATGTCAAAAATGATTCAGTCATTTCTAAAAGAAAAAAAGATCATAAAAAAAAGCCTTTCCGCATTACTACTAAAAATGTGGGGAAAGTATTTTGCCCTATATAATTTGTGTCACTGAATATTTATCTAGCTTTTGCTTAACAGGTGTGCTGACAGGCTGTGCTACTAGAAAAGACATTTGTTTCTTATTCCCTTTCCACTCTCTCAGGTGTTTAGGTGTGTTTTTGTGTTTTCTTTTTTTTTATTAGCAGATTTCATTTTGATATTACCAACTCTTCTCTAGGAAAGACTGTCAGGCTCTTCTCAGGGAAGAAAAAATTCACAGAGGAATAACTTACGAAACTGAAGGGACTAGTGTGCAGATCTAAAGGACTACAGATTTCAGGGTTTTGAAATGTAACTCTAATTTTTGAAATAACTATTTTTGTTTTTTGAATTGAAGATTTGTGTTTGGGGTAGGAAGTGTTGGCAGTAGATGTAGCCCTTGGCAAATGTGATTACTGAGTGCCTGCCAGCAACCGAGGAGGGGTAGGAATGCTGGAAGGAAACCCAGCTGTAGCTGCAGCGAGTGCTAATTGATGTTCATTATACATTGGTATGTCATATGTAAATACTCCTAGATCCCTTGAGCATCTGTCAAATATACTACTATTTTTTTTTCTTTTTGTAAGTTTAAGCACCAATTTAAGCTCAATAAATAAAATATGGTGGGAAAAAAAGCTATTCTTCAATTACTAACCTGTATATCAGAAAGAGTTATGACATTAAGGATTTCAGTGAGAATATTATACTCTGATTTTTGAAGATCGCTAATTATAATTTATTTCAGCTAACTTCCTAGAAAAGAGGGAAAAAGAGACACAAACAATCTTATTTCCCAGAAGTACTACTCGCTGGCAGTTTCTGGAAAACTGAATTGTGCGAGATAGTATGCTAAATTAAAACTGAACTCTTTATAACAGATGTCATAAACTCATTCCTGTTAAAATTAGTAAGGGTCAAGAATTCTGAAGAATTAAGTAATGAATCAAAAAGTAGATCTGTGCATCTTGTGTGCTTTTGAGTGGGAGAATGGAGAAAAGCCCTTACAAGGCTTAGCCGCTTGTCTTGTGGAAAGTGGTGAGGGTAGGTTCCAGCCGTCTAAAATGTATTATACTGGGCTGTCATTACTAGTGAAAAAAGTTATACTTTGGCTTGAGAATTAAAGGAAGAAGCTTATGTGTGTGTGTGTTTTTTTTTTTTTCCAGAAATGGTTGGTTAAAGTAGAAATTGAAAAATTACTATTAATAATACGAAATAAGTTTTGCTCTCTTAAGCTTTGGTATAAACACAACTCTCTTTTTCCTTCTGTTTTTGCATCTGGATTATGCACAATGTTTTCTCTTGCCTCTTTTTTCCTTTTATATGCGTGTGAGCATACATTTAAATTTCAAATAAAGAAGCTTAGTTATGACTTAAATGTTATAACTCAAGATTATTGTCAGTGCAGTTCTGTTATGCTGTGATAAGAATGTATTTCTGTCTATGTGAAAAAGGAATATAAACTAATGAGAAAATATTTGAAAAAGCTACTTCTTAAAAAGTGCAGAATGTTTTTTGTGTGACTTACAATTCTCAAAATGGATTGTGCCCAATAGTGTGTTGGTAATTATTATAAATATTTACATGCTGCTGATACAGTTCATTTAAATAATTGAAAAAGGTAGAAATTAATAGTTTTGTGTATTTGTGCTAGAAAGCTTACCCTAGCTTTTAACTCGGTGTTGGGAAAGAGCATATGCAGCTGGAGCCATGACTGCCTGAATCTACATTCGTTTGCCTTGAAACACTTCATTAAATGTACCATGTTCTTTAGGACTGGTCCTGCCATTAATGGACAAGTATTTATGTTTAGGTCAAAAGATTGCTTTCTCCTGAGAGTGTAAACTGATAAATCTTTTTGTAGAACTCTACTGTGTTCCTGGATACTTTAATTTCAGTCTCTAGTGTGCCAAAATATGTGTTAAGACAATTATTTCGAATCAACCTTATACAGGGGGAGCTGCAAGTCTGCAAATGGCAGATTGTGGGTTTTTTGTTTCTTTGTTTTTTAGATTTTTGTTTGTTTTAGATTTTTTCTCTCTACTCAAACTTACTGACTGTTAACTTGGATGTGCAACCATATAAAAATATTCCTGTAGCTCTAATACAGTAATAAATACAATAGGTGCCTGTTATTGTGAAACCTTGTGTAGGTTTTGATCTATGCCTTGAGTCCATTGCATAATGCAAATTCTATGAATATACTTTGTTTGTGTAGACTTAGATGCATTGATTTGTTAGGCTCTTTACCTAGTTTTATGGATCAGTTGTTTGAAGGGGTATACTGTTATGTTGTATTTATGGTTACCAGTGCCTGAATAGCAACAGGAGAGATGTTCGTGTGTATTGTCAGTACTAGGCTGTATAAAATAGTTTTTTTAAAAAAATCAAGGATTTGTTTTTGCTAAGCTGAGCTATTCCAGTTTCTCTTAAGTGATGGGATATGACTGTTATGTTTGACTTTAATGGGGGATTCCCTTCCGGAGACCTTGATATCCAAGAAGCCTGATTATTTGGGATGTGTTTGTGCTGTCAGTGGGATTTTAAAATGAATCTGTCACTTGCACACTGGCAAGCAGACATTGACTTTCAGATGCAGAGTTTTGTGTTGTAAATAATCAGAATTTGTGCTGACCTGTCAGTGGGTCTGACTGTTTTCCAGAAATATATTAGAATTGGTTTCGCTCTCTGATTTGCTGGTCTCTTTATAGTTCAAAGAGGATCCTTATAGTTTATTAACAGCTGTCACCAGAAAAGTGTATTGCTGAGGATATGAGGTCAACAATCTAAGAAAACTTTTTTTTCACAGCTATAAACAAATTTGCTTATGAAAGTATGCTTTTTTTTTAAAGGTGAAGTTACAGTGCAAACTGGAGATCTGTTGCCGTGTAGGATCTGTGGGAGGACTTTCTTTCCAGCAGCACTGGTGAGTGGTATGAAAACTTTATATCTATTGACCACTAGATTTTTTGTATGTGGACGTTAAGCAATTGTCAGTGTAGCTGAATAAAATGGACCTAGATACCTTTTTTTTTTTTTTTGCTCAACAATTGTTTTACTTCTTTAAAGAGGTTCTAAACTATGTGGTGGATTTTGTGCTGTTTTGTTTTGTCTTTTTTTTTTTTTGAGCACAGAATCACACTTTGCCTCTGAAATTGTAAGCCGTAACATCATGTAGTCCCTTCTGGTAAGCATTTTGTTAGCTGTCTTTGAAAAGACCTGTTCTGGCTTCGCAGAAATTGATCTGGTTCTAAAAATTAAAGTTCCTGAAATTCATATTCATGTCATTGTTCAGTACAAAATCTGTCTGCTGTGGTCAGATTTGTATTTGCAGGGAATAAATATATGTTCCTTCTTTTTTATCTTGGCTTTCAAGTCTTTGTGACCATGTATGTGTTTATAAATTCCTGTAGTTCTCCTCAAAGGATAAGAGTTGATGTAAGTACTTGAGTGAAAGCATTCCTTCTTTGTTTATCAGGAGTTGGACCTCACTTGCTGATTGGCATTTCTAGAATGGGGAAATAGCATGTTAACAACTTGCGTTCAAAACTAAATTCTCTGTTCTTTATTTCTTCTGTTTATAGAAAAAACATGGACCCATTTGCCAAAAAACTTCTGCCAAGAAAAGGAAGACATTTGATTCCAGCCGTCAGAGAGCGGAAGGAACTGACATTCCCACAGTAAAACCTCTTAAGCCACGGGTAGGTTATAATTTAGTTGGAGTATATATACTCTGGACATTTTAGGGAGAATATTAGTTACAAAAAGGTTTAATTACGGTAAGATTTGGTTTTGTTCATAGTCTGTATCTTGTTCATATCGTATTTTAGAAGAAGGCATATTATTTACTGCAAAGTAAGAGCTCCAAACATACAAAACTCTTTTTTTGTTGTTTTTTTTTTTGTTTTTCTCTTCTTAGCCAGAGCCCCCCAAAAAACCATCCAATTGGAGACGAAAGCATGAAGAATTTATAGCAGCTATACGAGCAGCCAAAGGGCTTAATCTTAAAGATGGAAAGCTTCCTCCACCACCTCCACCATCGTATGATCCTGGTATGTAAAACAGTTAAGTTCTTTAGAGGTCTCTGTAATGCAAACAAGTTGTAAACATTTGAATTGAAAAGGAATTTGTTGAAATACACTGTTCACAAGTCGTTAAGGACTGCTGTCTCGTTATCCCTGTGCAGGTTCTGATTTGTGTCTGCTCTGACTGACTAACATTCTGTTTAGTTTTCAATGCCCATGACTTTGTTTTTAATACATCAAAATACAGTTGTGAATGTTTCAGCTTGCTACTTTACTATAATCTGTAGGCCAGATAAATTGTTTCAACACCTTCTCTGCAACTGTGGGTCTGCTCAGAAAAATCAGACTGTCTTTTGAAGTGGCTGCCAGTTTGAGGCAGCCATTATATTGCAGGGATGGACATGTTGACAGTGTTCTTCAAATTGCAGTCCTTTTCGTATCTTTCTGGATTCATGTTTTGGACCATGCATGCACTATATGCAGTTAAGTGCTCCAGTGTACATGTGGCCCTTCCTCACGTGGTGGGGATACTTGTGTTCGGAGTATGTGAGTGACCTGGTATTTATTTTAACAAGGGAATGATAGTCCTTGGATGCCTTTCTAATGGAGGTTGAGTAAAGCATTGAAACAAGTCTTATGTGATTGAGGAGAGAAGGAAATAAGCTTTTCAGTGATCTTCTGTGATATGATGTTGGCTTAGAGAACATATTTCCTCTTGTCATAAGAGTTAAATGATTTGCTAAGCTCGGTGGTTATGCTCAGAAGGATTTTGAACTTTACATGTGTTTTACATTCTCCCTGTCTGTTGTTAAGTAAAGATGCAAGTGCTCCCTACCTTGCTTCTCTGCAGGAAACATGTTAGTCTTGGTAGCAGGATTGCAATTGTTCATTGCTATTATGAAGACTCTTACTGTGTATTCAGCTCACACAATGCTGTATGCCTTTTAAAATGTAACAAATTCAATAGCTAATATTATGTATAAGAACTAAATGGCCTAATCTTTTATGTGTATAGGTTTATGTAAACTGTCTAATTACAGGATTAATTTTAGGATACTATCAATAAACCAGTAGTATAGTTTCTGGTTTACAAGCAAAGGTGCCTATGCCTAAATCTACCTTGCAAAATCTAAGTGGTGTTTCTTTAGCTGTAGTCTGCAAGAGACTGCAATGAGTTTGAAGGAAAGAAAGCCAGTAACTGCTGTATTCAGCCTGCTTGGAAGAGGATACGAGGTAAAGGGAAGAGAAGGGTGTTGCCCGTCTATTTTTCTGTCTTGTTACTTTTGCAGTCTGACTCTTACTGTGTTGTTCCCTGGGTTCATCCTGCTGCAGCAAGGGAAGACTTGAGTAAGACTTAGGGAATGGGACTAGGAGTGAGGAGGAGGTGCAATAACTTATCAGTAACATCCCTCTCTTCAAGCCGGTTAGAAGAAAAGAAATAAATACAGCTGGGGTAGTTACAATTTCTACTTTTCCACTTGTACATATAAAAGAAAGGGATAGTTACAGTGGATACCAAGGAGTACATGCATCCTCTCTCCTGCTCAGCTCTCTTTGACAAGCCTACTTCTAGCTAGTTGCTCTTTCTTTCTTTTAACATTTAAAAAATTAATTCAAAAGCTATGTATAAATATCCTCTATATGTAACTTCTTGCTTTGAGTTTACAAATATGCATTTTGGTGGTGTTTGAAGCTGTGGAGAATAGTCTGATGATGTTGAGAAGGATTTTAAGTCACATATATTTGCATCAAGCTTGTCTGTGCATGCTGCTGGTTCACTTGGTTAGCTTGTGTTGTTACATTAGATCCTAGCAAGTCTGCTGGACAATACGAACAGTATTTACAGGTAACTAGGTGACTGATGCTGAATATTTTACCAAGGGATAAAGATATCATATCTGATACTTAAAGAAATACTAGTGTATCTTTTATAATCTGATCCATTTACTTTAGTGGTCTTTTGAAGTCTGTGGAAACTGAACTGTGCCCTAGTTGAGGAAATGGCCTTTCTTGGATATAGCTTCCATCCTCGCTCAATTCATGCGTTTTAGCTCCCATCATCCTTTTTTCCGTTGTATATGGCCTGTCTTGGGACATAAGCTGGTTTTACTATGGAGAAATTACATTTCTCAGAAGCTCCTGTCCTTTAGGATCTATATTCTGACAGTATTGGAGCCAATGTAAAAAATAATTCATTGTTATTGTCAGCTGAGATGTCCATGCTGTCACTTTTGTGAAGGATTCTTGTGTTCTTCCCATGTCCTCTGTCCCTATTGCTTGTGTCATTAATTGGCTTGGAAATGATTAAATTACTTGTATAACAAATTGTTTATTTTAAACTATAATTGCTTAAACTAAATGTGCTGCTAGAGTACTAGTATGTAATCCCAATCTTCTTTTAGACCGTGTAAACATATATATATATATATATATAGACATTAAAATAGCTATAAACTTAAAGATAGTGTCTTTCATTTGTCTTCTTTTTGTTAAATATGGCTAAGAACATACTAATTTTATCACTCTGCCAGCATACATCTCTTCTGAATTTGATGTTTATATGGTTTTGAAAACTAATATAAGGAATCAAAAATCTATATCTAGACATTAGAACATCTCTCTGAAACTGTAGCCCAACACTGTTATCTTTTCAAGAACAGTATGTTTTAAGGGAGTATATTTACAGTAAAAAGATTGGAGGCCTCTAGTATCATCTTTTTATTTTTTTATTTTAATAGTAAAAGCATTTCCTACAAGTAGGACTGCTTGCAATGTGATTCATCATGAAATAATATGGCTACAGTGTATCCTGTTTTGCATCTCTGCACATCTCCTGATTTGGTCTGAGTTTCCCCTAATTTGAGCTTTTCTTTCCGATTTTATGTATTTGTTTTTTAGATTATAGTGATAGTCACTCAAAGCGGGTATTCTCAGTTCTTTCAAAATTGTCAGAGCAAAATTAATGTGTATTTTGTTATTTCAGTGGGAAAGATTTTAATGCACTTTCATATCTTGAAGGAACTGAACTGCATTTGCCATTTTTATTTAGCCCCTTCTCTTTCACACCTCCTGCCAGCTGAGCTCCTTGCCAAGGTGATCTAACTTTTGGCTGCTTTCCCTGCTGAGTAGCATCTCTCCAGCTGCTTTCGATATCAGTTAGGATATCTCTGAACCTCAGAGATATTTGTTCTTACTCAGCAAACTAGATGTTTTTTTTTGATGTTGCTCTCCTAATTTCTAATGTTGGGCTTTGTTTTTAAGATTACATTCAATGTCCATATTGCCAGAGGAGATTTAATGAAAATGCAGCTGAAAGACACATCAATTTCTGTAAGGAACAAGCAGCGCGCATTACTAATAAGGGGAAAATGGCTGCTGATACGAAAGGGAAGCTTCCTACTCGAACACAGGTGAAATACAGTACTTTTCTTGTCTTGTAACTCATATTTGTAAAATTAAGCTTATTAAATATTTTGACTTGTCCTTAAGTGGAATTAAATAATAATATTACCAAATAGTTACAATTAAACTGAAGTTCTTAAGCATGTAAAAAGTTTTTGCTTCCCAGTTAGGACTGGGGGGGAGGGCCATACGCCAGATGGCAGTAGCTGCAAAGAAGAAAACATGCTCATAAACTGAGATCTGTGAAAATGACAGAAAAGGGTAGTGTAGCAGCAGGAAGTGAGATGGAGTGTGTGTAAAACAAATTGAATTTCTATTCACGCCTTCAGAATCTATTTCAAGACTGTTTCTTGAGTGAACAAATAAAGGTATGTGATATATGATCTTTTTGATCTATATGGTGGCCTATATGATAATTGACAGCAAGATTTTAACTAATTAGAGGCTTAATGAGGCTTCAGGTAATAGTTGCAGTAAAGTATGAAAAGTAAATGGTTCAAGTATATGTATATTTGCAGAGAGGACTAGGCAGTGGGGTGGGTTTTCTTTCTCATTTGTTTTTTTTTTTTTTTTTTTTTTTTTTTGCTTTTGCTTTTTTGAAGCTGGGAGGAATAAAGCAGAACCAAACACATAAGAGTTTCTTGCATTAATCAGTTCTGGGATTGGGCCAGAACTTATGTGCAGAAGTAGAATTTGAAAGAATTAATGGTCTTGTCCTTGAGCGTTCTTTTAAAAAAATAACTGATAGTGAGGTCGTAATGTTAAGCTCAAGAGACACTGAAAACATAGCAGCAGAAAAGTAGAAAATACGCAACAGGATAATTCAACTGAAGAAAAAAAAATCCAACTTTATTTGGTATTTTTCGATTAACCTCTCTTTATATGCATGAGAAAGCAAGGTAGCAGAAATCATTTGTGCAACCCCTGCGTTAACTAGTAACTGATTCCAATCTGTTCTCCCATTCAGTTCTTTAATCAAACATCTATATAGCACCATCGGTAGTTAATGGTAACTGCTTAAATTTCTGGGTTGTATTTTCTTGCAGTATAAACCTGCTGCAGTGAAGAAGATGCCTTCTACAGGATCAGCTCCATCACCATCATCATCACGCTTGCCACAGCCAAGCAGTGCTAGCAAAACTGTTGGAGGTATGAAATGAATATTCTTTCTAAATATTGGAATGCAGACTATATAACAAAGGTAGTATAATGCTAGAAGGATTTAGTCAGTATGAATCACAGGGCAATTTTGTAGAAATAAAAAAAGCTTCTTAAGAGGAGTCTGTTGTTATATGAGTAGATGACTTGTGTCTTCATGATATGCTAATCTCTTTTATTGAGTTTTTGTGTAATATGAACAACAATCTGTAATTCTTCTAAGTATGTATGTGATGACCATACCTTTTATTGGCCCAACTGATATTCTTGTTTGCAAAAAAAAAAAAAAAAAAAAAAACAAAAAAAAAAAAAAACATTTAAAGCAATACTGGAAGGAATACAGAGTGACCCCTATTCAAAAAGACCCTTAAACATAGGACAAGACTGTCTTGGGTTTTGTATATCAGGCTGAATTAGTTTGACTGTGTGATGGTCTTGTTGTTGGTGGGTTTTTTTTTTGTTTTTTTTTTTCTCTGAATAGCAACTGCAAAGACCTTTCTGTGAAGTAGTGCATAATTACATCTGATTTTGCTCTGTCACATCAGATTTTTTTTTTCTCTTGCTTAATTTTGTAACTAATTTGTGTACAGAATATGATAGTGAACTGGTTAAAAAAATATGGAGAGAGAGGGAGGAAAGGAAATGCATATTAAAATTATTCAAACACTGGTCTTGCTCTAAATGCAGATATCAGTAGGATTCTGTACACACATTGGATTTTTTTTAATTAGAATAGATTAGAACACACTGTCACGGTTGCATATTTTCTGTAGATGTTCAGAATTGTAGTTATGTTTTCTTAATATCTTAATGTTTGCTTATATCTCGGCATCTTCTCAAACTATTGTTCCGAATTTTGTAATAATATAATTCCAGTAACCATGTATTGGATTTTCTTATATTTAAATGCTTGCCTTTTAACTTGTAAGGTGTCTCTTCAAGTAAAGCACTATCTTCATCTGGGTCTGGAGGGAGCAAAATTCAAACACTATCACCAGCTCATAAAAACTCGCTGGGAATGGTGAACCCACAGGCAGGGTAAGTCCCCATGTAGTATTGGCACTCCTTCCTGCTTTTACTTTTATGTTGTGCTGGTTTTAAAAGAAGTATTTATGGGCTGTTTTGCTTGTGTGATTTTTCTACAAACTTTAAAAGTTCAATCAGGCTTTATTTGTATAAGCAGTGAATGTGGCAAATTTGAGTTTAAAGAACATCACATTAGATAAGAATGCCTTGTGTGTGTGTATTTGTTAAAATGAAAATCCTGCTGCACTATATCTCTGCAACTGCTTTCTTTTTCTTTGTGTAGTCTACTTTCTCACGCTCTTTTGCCCACCACAGCCCCTTGCTGTATAAGAGGCAAATGAAGTATTTGTTTAAGCGAAAAAGCAAAGATGAGCACAAGCTATACAGAAGGCAGTAATGGAAACAAAAGTGGGGAGGGAGGTAAAGTTGTGGTAAAACTGTATACAGAAGTAGATTAAAAATATACAAATACGTAGAACCACATGTGTGTGCATTTATATGTACGTGTGCGTGATTTTGTTAAAAGTGAAGAGACTTTTAAGGGAAAAAAAGAAGAAAACATTTGGCATCATTTCTTTCTTTAAATCTCCTTTTATTTCTCTTGAATGTAAGAGGCCTCTTAATGACTAGAAATGATTATGATAAGATTTTCCTTGTTGGCATAGAAAATCAGATACCTTCTCCTTGCTTCCTGCCCCAGGTTTAAAATATAGAAGATACTGTAATGCAATAGCAAGAAATAGTGGTACGTTACTAGCGTTTGGTCAGGGTGCTGGTATGCTTAAGACCATTGGTGCCTACCACTGCTGAAAAATCAGTATTTTAAAGATGATGATTAAGGAAGGAGTTGAGATGGATACTGTATCCTTCCAGAAGTTTGAAGAACATGTAGAACCACTGAGAGAAAGCGCAGAATATGACAAGAACAGGACTGCAGTTATTGTTGGTGACTGAAGATGACTTCTTCCTGTAAAAATGTGTAGCAGCTTATAAACAGATTTGAAGAAAGCTGTATGAAGCAAAGATAACATTTGCTGAGTTTGTTTATTGCTATTAAATCTTCTTAACTGCACATCAGTATGAATTGTAGCTAGTCACCCTTCCTTCCTAACACCACATATTATGAGGTGCAGTTCTGTCTGTTTTCTTATTGTTCCCAGTTTTGCTAAATCTGTATCTGAATTTGCGAAGTCTGTAGCTTTATATAGTGTGACGAATATGGTTACCTAGGTACAAGTGGCCTTGCAAGGTTCTAGTCCCTAAAAGATCCCCCAAACTCCTCTTCAGTTATCTAGTTCACCCTGATTATGTACTGCTCATCTTACTTTCGAAGGCGAATCATTTGACTTGGGCCTTGATACCTCTGCTTAGTGCCAATTAAGCGAGCGCTTTCTTATTAGCAAACAGCCCATGTACCATAGGATTATAGGATTTCTGGTAAATAAATAGGAGGAAGCAGATGCCAAAACCAACAAAGTGAAAGATGGAAGGGAGCCAAATGGAAGTTGCTAGCTATTGTTACGCATATAACTTTATGTGAGTCAGTAGTGGAGTCTCAACCCTTTATTTCATTTTGAAATGTAGTTTAGTAAAAGGCAAGCTTAAGTGACTTTCTGGTGCTAGGAATTCCCAACACAGAAAGCCTTGGGGCATGGTAAAGATTAAATAGAAGTTGTATGATCATCAGAACTATGAAAAATTAATGGGAGAATTCCAGAGGTCAGGATGAAAGCCTTTAAATTTGGAAAGGAATGCTAATGTCAGTGTGATATACAAAGAAACAAACTCTACCTGCAAATGGGAAAGAAAAAGACTTTCTATGTTGCCCTGCATGGTGAGGACCCTTGCTTTTCTTTGCCTTGCATCAGACTATTTCTGTTGTGTTCCTGCTGCTTTCATTTTCTGTCTCTTCTCTGCTAAATTGTAAAATCAGGGTCCTAGATCACTACAAAAGGCAAGAGCTCCCAAACTTGGAGGGAATTATGAAGTTGAGGACATATCGGAGATGGTGCAATGTAATCAGAGACAGTATTCCAGAAACAATAAAGCTGATACAAGGTGAAAATAAAGGAAAGGGAAATATCTGTGGCTCAGGAAAATGTTATAAGCTGAACGTGGTCAAAAGGGAAGTATTTTTACCAGAAGCAGGATAGTGCTGAATGGGCCTAGCACTGCTACAGTTGATTGTGAGCATAAGCAGATAAGTGGAAGTATGTGAAAGCTTGATCAGTGCAAGAGGGAGGTGGTGGTACAGTGAAGAAAGAATAGGTGGAAACGCTGGTAGCACAAGAGGGTCAAGGGTAACAAGACTGGGGAAAAGAGATAATCAAATTCAAAACAGTGGAGAGAAGGCAGAAGACAGGTGAGATGCAGAAGGTTGAAATAACACCTACTCATGAGTGGCAAACAAGTCTGTCTGCAAACCACAGTAAAACAGGTCAGCTGAGGTTGTTTAAAGACTCCATTCTGGCTCCAGCAAGGAATCCGAGGTATCTGGAAAAGGCTTTTGCTTACTGATAGGGCTTCTCATCACAGTCTGCATGGGTTTGATAGATATTAGGGCTTTTTTAAGGAAAGGTAACCAGTCACTTTGCTCACTGGACTCATTGCCTTGTGTTCTGTAATCCAGCATGTCCTCTTCTGAATCTTTTACTTCGACATAGTTAAAAAATAATAATAATAATAAAAGGCAGTATCTAAAGAGATTGAAGAGAATCTTGCTTAGGTGCTCTCTGCTCGCACATGCTCTAACTGCAAATAGGTGACTTATGGTTAGCACAGTTCTCAAGGCAGTGATCTGTGCAGTGAGGCAGTGGCTGTTGGCTTGCTCACCTTGGATGGAATGTGTTTCCATCTGCAGCACTTTCCTCCAGCTTGAATATTTTGTGTCCTAGTCTTTGCCAAACAGCCCTATGATTTCTTGTTTGTGTTACTAACCAGCCTTCTTCTGAAGGCCATTTACTGTGTTGCTTTCCTAAGTGTTCAGCCTTGCAGTTCTTTGTTTTTCTTTTGGCTGCTTTGCATTCATTCCCGGGTGACGGCGTTCGTTCTGTGTATGTAGTCATTCTGCAGTGGTAACATTGGAGCAAAGAGGTGTCAGGACACTTGCCATAGTGCAAAGTTAAATACCTCAAATTATTCAGGAGTAGCAAGTTTGACCTTAAGCACTTAGTCGCAGTACTGACAGAGAAAAATATTGAGGGTTCTATGAAATTATATCAGGCATTGGGAGATAATTCTCCCAGGCTCCATCTGAGTGAAAAAAGTAAGTAGTTAGTGAACTGATTTACTGAGGGCAGAGCAGTACCTCTTGTTTTGACAGAAGTCTTTCAAATGGAATGTCAAGAGGTGACATGACATTTTTTTGGAAGGGAAGTAGGAGGTGGGGGTAAATATTTGCTACCCTTTCTGCATACTGCTTTTGTCCTAGTTAAATTCCAATTTGGGTGTCAGATTTGCTGTAAGAAATGACCTCCTGCACTGTTCATTCCTTAAGGCAAAGTGTAATTTCATGATTTTATGTATTATTCAAATAGGTAGAATTTACATTTTTGCCTGGATAGTATGATGCCAGGCTTCTGGCACAGAGAGAGTGAGATTTAGTAACTCGCAGAATGATTAAAGTTGGAAGAGGCCTTTGGAGATCTTCCAGTCCAATCCTCCTGCTCCAGCAGGGACACCTAGAGCATGTGGCGCAGGGTGGCATCCAGTCAGATTTGGAAGATCTCTGGAGAAGGAGACTCCAAAGGAGCCTCTCCGGGCAGCCTGTGCCAGGGCTCTGTTACCCAATATGTCATTGTAAGAGTGGGAGGAGGGTCATTCTTTCCAGAGAATCATGGCCCCAGTTCTTTGTGGTGTGCATGCTGAGGGGCAAGAAATCCCTTTCATCTCTTCACTGGCGTCTCTTCACAGCCAGAAATGATAAAATAGGCA